AGCTGAGGGCAAAAGAAAGTTTTACCTAATCTGTTGGCAGGGTTGCGTTTAAAAGGTTCCTGAGGAGACTCTGAGCTTCTGGACTCAAGAACTGTGGCATTCCCAACTTGGCCCTGAGAAAAGAAAACACAGGGAGCGTTGATATGAAAGAAAATATTAAATAGACAGAATAACTGCGGTGTTATCAGCTGTCCATATTGTATATCCAAACTAAAAGTGTCTGAAAGACTAGAGGACAATATGCTACACACAGGAAACACACTCAGCAGTTTGCAGAGAGTCTGCTCAGCAGTTTTCTACAGGCCGCCGTTGAGAGTGAAAGAGAGACGACAGAGGAAGCAGGATGGGTTAATATTTCCTGAGAATTGTTTTTTTCTTTCTTTCTCCAACATGATTCTCTCTTTTGCCTCTCATCCCTCGCTCCTCCTCCCACCAAATCTTCCCTCACAGTCTCCTTCCTCGCTGCTATCAGAACAATTTCTCTCATCTCTCCTCCGCTCTGTCCATCGTCATCTTCCTCTTCCTCCTGAGTGCTGCACTTTATCTCCTCTAAAATAAATCCTTCACTTTCCTTGGGCTGACTCGCCGGAGGGAGAGAGGGCGGGAGGGGAGTCTCACGCCGCCGCTCTCTCTTTCTCCGTCTCTCCTCTCGGATGTCCAGTAAGCTGTAATAAAAGCGGTTAGGTGGAGATTAGATCGGAGCGTACAGACAGTATAAAGTGTCTTACTTGAGGATCATGGTCATCGTCTCTTTCCGGTCTTTGCCTTGAAACGGCAGCGTTCCCGTCAGCATCTCAAACTGAGAGAAAGAGCAAAACATGTCCACGGTCAAAGCTTTATACTTCTCCCCCCAAACACTCCTCCTCCTAATGATGTCTGCGCAAAGTGTTACGTTCACTGTGATGGTATTATTCATGTTAACAAATGAGATCACTTATGTTTCTCTAAATGGGCCGCTGATAAATCATCCTAACTGACGGAAGAACTAATCTAAAACCATTACTGGCTAGCGTTAAATATATATAGTTATACCGTAGAGAATAATGCAGTTGAATGACGTCACTTCAGACAAACTGCACCTCACGCTCCCCTAAACACCAGTCATGCTCTGAAATCCACAGCAGAACCCAAAGTATGTTTCTGTCGGCTTGTCAGCTAGCTAACAATCAGTTTAGAGCCGATGGTCTCACACCAGAACCACAAACATTTGAGAACAATTCTTATCTTATCAGCCTATTTATTCATGCAGACGGAGAAACAATACAGATGCACCTCAACCACCGTCTCAGTTGCAGCTGCTACACATTTTAATTTTTTAACATCATCTGCTTAAATTAAATTCTCCACTGGGCAGCCATGACGGCACCAGATGTGAAAGCTAGAATTTGTGATGAAACCATAAAGACAGCAAGTGTGAAATATTTTAATGATATAATAAGGTTTCACAAAACAGCCACAATATACTACACACCTGTTCTGCCCCAGACACATTTTCAGATGATCGGTGACTTTGTCTAGTTGTTTGGTTTTCGAACAATTTACTAAGGTTAGGGTCGAATATAATAACATCAGATCCGGTTATTAAATGTGAATAATTTTAAATCTTTTAAACAAGTTAGGTTTTGCTTTAAACACAAACAAAATGCATTTATATTATATCCAGTACTTGCGATTGCAGGAATTAGCTAAATGTTTTGTAAAATGCTCTTTCCTAATAAAGAAAAGCTCAAGAAGATTCAGCAAGAGCTTATTAAATATTTTAGTAACTTGGTAACAGATCCACAATGCCTGCTAACCAGCAGTGTAATGAGCAGCGTCCTCTCACCATGAGCACGCCATACGACCACCAGTCGGCGCTGTGCGTGTGTCCTCGCCTGTTGACCACCTCGGGAGCCATGTACTCCACCGTCCCACAGAAGGAGTAGGCCTTGTTCGCCTGGTCTATGGACTCCTTGCTGAGGCCAAAGTCTGAAAACACACAACTCAGTGATAAATGAGTTTGCAGCAGCAGGAGCGCGCGTTAACAGACACACGACGACGACACATTGTTTTATAACGAGCGGCAGCTGAAACACACACGCACACACAGAACAGGTGTAGTATTACCCACCGGTCAGCTTGATGTGTCCCTCTTCATCGAGCAGGATGCTGAAATAACAGGTTTTTTTTTTGAGTATTCTGAAGGAAACGTCTGCTGGCAAACATTCATATATGTGGTGTGTGTGGCGCCTACTTCTCTGGCTTCAGGTCTCTGTAAATGATGCCCAGGCTGTGAAGGTGATCGAGGGCCAGAGCGAGTTCTGCCAGATAAAACTTCACATCCTCCTCTGTGAACATGACCTAAAACACACACAGTACACACGGTTGAAGACACACTCTGAGAAATGTTACTCAGCCATATATTACGCCCTTACAAAGCCCTTCGCATTTACGATACGAAACTCTGTTTGGTAAGTAATAATTTCTTGTTAGTCATGATGCTTGGGACAATGACTGATTTTAAAATGCAGACAAGGTGCAAAGATCAGAAAACAAGTCACTGTGTTCATCAGCTTGTGGAAACTTGAATGTCTTTTAAAGACACCATTTCCCACGTGCTAAGGTACTGTATGTAAAATCCCTCTTATTTCTCTTCCTTTAAAACATAACATTCATTTTAATGACTCTCCTGCACTCTGAGACATGCATTTATCCAATCAAATGTGATCTAAAATAATGATGAACCAGTTTCTGAATCTCTTTATAGGAAGTCACAAAGTAAAGTAACCGACAACTAAAACTCCACGGAAACCGAAAAACAAGCAGTAACATCTTTTCTTGCTTCCTCCTGTTTGCTTGTTCTTCTGTGTCTGTGCTGCATGATTTCTGTTCTTCCATAATTATTAAAGAGGAATATTAGAATACTAGACCGCTCAACAGGATCTGCTTACCTTAACGGTACTTCACCTAAATACCCTCTTCCTTTGTCATTTTCTCTCCTAATGAACGTCTATTCACTGACACTAGGAGAGTCGATCAGTCCAGTCCTCAGTTCTTCACGCTGCCTCCTGACTTATACATCTTACTGTTTGTTATAAAGTAGTGACAGATCTAACAGACACTTAGATATCGATATCTGGCATTTTGAGATAATCTGCATCGGCTGATACCTGCACCCACGAGGCCGATAAAACCGGGACCCAAAGTATGTTTCTTATCATTCATTAACAAATATTTTCATTTAAAACAACACGTACTGGCTGAGATAACATGTACATTACATTGTTCTCTGCAGGAATAATGGATTACACATGATTTCCTTGTTTTATATTGGCATTATATATCTGCTCTACAAATATCAACATCGGCCGTTGAAAAACCCACATCTCTCGATCGCTATTTTAAAACAGAGACTCAGAAACGGTCTCAGATGGTCTGGGTTCAGGTCTGCTTACTGTCCCACACATTTCCAATCAGATCTTTGACAATGACATTTGGGATTATGTATTCACATCCAGCACTGCACTGTAATGATTTGTCTCCCATTTTATCTGTTTCAGCTTATGTTTGTTGTTTTTTCGCCTTGTGTATTGATCTTAATGCCTTTTTTTGATTAAAGCACTTTGGCACTAGGGTGTGCCATGTCTACAAAATTTTCATCGGATGATGTCCACATTGAAACATCGGGATGGACGACGGCATCTGGGGCGGTTAAAAACTTGGTAGCCTATGATGTTACAAGTTGCGGTGGAAATTTTACAAGCACGGACCAGGTAAAACAGCAGTGAACACACAGGGTGCGGATGTTGGTTTCGTGTTTTGATAGGCTGCGTCATTAATAAGCCCACAAGCGGCTCACCTGCTGCCGTGATACAATCACGATGCCATCGACCATCTGTCAGCCATCGCCGATGGACGAAGGCTTTTCGGCCCAATCTACTTGCTAACCAAAACAGTTTTGAAGGACAGACTGTAGCCAAAATAAATAAAGCATGGTGTGCTGAAGAAGTGTTTCATTAATAAGAAAAGAGTTAAAAATCTAATTTCAATAAGATTCTGATTAATATATTTGTTATATCTTGTTGATTTTCATCTGTTTGTATTCTCCAGTTTGCCTCTCGGATGTTTTGTCTTCAGAGCTAAATCCTGAAGGCCTCCTCGTGCATAAACAGTGCTACCCTTAGAGAGGCGAGTGAAGAGATCTCCTCCTCTGAGGAAGTCCAGGATCAGGTAGGCTTCCCCTCCGTCTGAAACGCTGAGGGAGGAAGGAGAGAAGGAAACAAGTGAGATATGATCTAAGAGTCACCACTTGTTGAACATTTCACTGTGACTAAAAAGAAGAACATTCAGTTGATTGGCCGGCGTGGCGTTGGTGATCATCACGGAGGTCTGTTATTGACCACCGTAGTGCAGTTTGACAATAAAGGGATGGTGACCCCCCAGGATGTCTCTCCCATCTTGTCCTGACCCGGTCGCGCACTGGAAACACACACACACACAGTGGAAAACACATAAATCAGCAGATAAAGCTCTCGGTGAAAAGCCCAAATAAACAGCCTATTTGGTTTCTTTTGGCTGAGAGACTCCCAGATGGCAGCGGATGAGTAAACCGAACATGGGCAGAGGGAGGGAAAATCAGCACGAAGAAATTTAAAAACAAGAAAGAAAAATGGAAAAATATGATGACAGACAGAGAGAAAAATAGACATGCTGTATTTCTGTCCACCAGATGGTGTTCGACTTGAGTTTAACTGACTTCAGGCCATTTATGCGTCTCTCCTCTCTCCTGCACCTCTGTAGCTCTTTGTCTCTCTGTGTGGTCTCATGTTAAAGTGTGAAATTCCACTTTGGGGGCGATGATGATGAGCAAAAAACACGCAGAATCCACTTGTGAACAAAAAAGGCAAAACTATATTTCAGAGCAAAGAGCTCCAGCTGTCAAACCCAACCATCACTGAAGACTCTGTCGGCCTCTATCTGACTTTAGTCTGCGATTAACACTTAATCTGAAAAAAGAAGCAGAACACAAGCACAAAAAGAAACTGGTCTTGAAAAACAGAATTTCAGCAGTTTTTACTAACGTAGATTTTTTTAAATTACGATTTGATTAGGTCGCATAATTTGAGATCGGAAACGTTTTCAGGCTTATTTACATCTCGCGGCTGCTGCTGCTGCGCTTCCTCTTCTAACCTCAGCTGCAACCAGTCTACCTGATGACCCAAATGGATTTAGATCCTAGTAACAACAAAAATGAGCGGTTCACTGAAGCCAGAGTTTAACCCTAACTCTAAACATCATCAACCTCATTGTTTTCTTAGTTTGTGGGAAATTTAGATTTTTCCTACGATCTCAGGTTGTGGAGCCACAGCGGCTTCGTTCAGCATGCTTCTGTTTTCAATCTGTTGATCCTGTATTCTGTCACCATTACACAAGCGATTGCTCGGTAATCGGTGATCTCTGTAATTACTTTTGAACAGCGCGTGATAAAGGTTAAAAGGCATAAATGACTGAGCGTTAAGTGCATTTCCTCACTCGCTTTGTTCACATTACTGCTGGAGTATTTGTTCAGTCTGTTTTTACTACACCTGAAGAAGTTAATCATAGAGCTCTCTATCGCCCTTCAGTTTCTCTCTGCCTCACATGTTCATGAAGTGGAGTCTAACAGTTTGAAGTGGGGTCTAACAGTTTGAAGTGGAATCTAACAGTTTGGTTAACAGAAAATTCGCTCACTGTGAAACATTTTTAAACTCGTGTTCATGATTAGACCGGATGCATTCACATGGATTTAATTCAGCATTTGTGTCAACTTAAGGGCGGTCACTCTACATGACCTGAACACCTTCATTCAAATTGAGGAACAGCTGAATAATATCACATATGCTTCTGGACAAGGCTGGTGATATTTTGATTTGTTTATTGTGAACAAATGACATTAATGGCCAAATATACCTCGTTCTATAAATGAAATCTTAAATTCATTCCAGGAATGAAAGCAAAGCTTTGTCCCCTCAGATTTCACATAAACTTAAAGGATGAGACTCATACTCTCTAATAAAGGCAGGAATCTGTGTGAGTGTTATATTTCGATTATGTCGAATTTGGTGCAACACGTTTAGAATTAATAAACTTTGAACCAAACAGTACAGAGCGAGTCGCTCCATTCTGTAACAGCAAAGGCTAGGTACGCTGCGGGGGCGGGGCTTATATGCTTGATGTGGTAGTGAATGTTGAAATGGAGTTATCGTCCTCACGCAGGTTTAAATATGTTCAAACGGGTCGTAAGAGTTGAAGTTATGAGGGAGTGCTGAATGTCAGC